AAAAAAAAAAAAAAAAAAGAAATATTTCTCTGATGAATAATTGCCAAGTATTTGCCGTTTATTTTCAAAACTAATGGTACTGATTAATGTTTGTCTGCTTAGCCAGAAAATGCTGTGGGGAGTATTTAGCAAAATGTATTTAGTACAGAAAAAAAAAAAAAGCATCAATAGGCTTTACATTTATAAATCACAACAAATCTCATAAGAGAAACAGAAAACAATCTGAGAATCAAGGCTCTTTCTGACTCATGGCTCTCTAAACCCAACAGCTTTACTTCTGGGGGCCATTCCCTCCCCTGGGGAGGCAGCCAAGGGGAGTGACACACAGAGATGGAGTTACTTACCAGCCCTCTAGGGACAAATTACTTAATCTCTCTAAGCCTCATTGCCTACCTGGAATATAGCACAATGGATATGATAATAGTCCAGATATCTCAGCGTCATTGTGAGGACTGAATGAGATAATCCAACATGTACTTTGACTTTTCTTAATACTCTAAATCAGACATAGGCAGCCTGTGGCCTTGGGGCCACATGTGGCTTTCTGGATTCCTAAGTGTGGCCTTTTGACTGAATCCAAACTTCAGACCTAACAACTGCAATCAGCATAATCTAATTCTTTATACCCTCAATGAATCCCAAACAATTAAAAAAAAAAAAATACAAGAAGAAGAAAAAAGGACTTGTTCTATAAAATTTGGATTCAGTCCAGGGGCTGCACTTGGAGAGCTGGTAGGTTTAGAGTCTAAACCCACGCTGGAACCACGCTCGTAGGTTTAGTGTCTAAACCCACTGCTGCCTCTCCCACCTCATTCTCCCATTCAAATCATATTGCTTCCCAGTGCATTAGGATAAAGCTCAGACCTCCACTGCAGGACATGAAAAGGCCTCTAAGCCACAGCCCTTGCCTTCTTTCTCTATGTCGCCGCTCCAAACATTCCCCATGCTCACTCAACTCTAGTTCTTAGAAATCACTCCCATGTGTCAAATCCTCTTTTAGTCCTAGAATTAATGTCTCAAGCATTGTTCTAGAGCAGTGGTCCTCAACCTTCCTAATGCCACAACCCTTTAATACAGCTCCTTATGTTGGGGTGACTCCAACCATAAAATTATTTTTGTTGCTACTTCATAACCATAATTTTGCTACTGTTATGAATCGTAATGTAAATGTGTGATATTAGGCGACCTTTGTGAAAGGGTTATTTGACTCCCTCCAAAGGGGTCGCAACCCACAGGTTGAAAACTGCTGTTATAGAGGGAAGATCCCAGGGTGGTATTCCAGTTGTACCAATGCTATCCCATTAGAAAATATCTTCTTATACAATAATGAGTAGTTATCAACCATAAACTATGTGGATGAATTAGCTCTTTTAACCTTCACAACAACTTATAAGGCAGATACTGTTATCTTCCATGTTTTTCTTTTCTTTTCTTTTTTTTTTTGGCCGGGGCTGGATTTGAACCCACCACCTCAGGTATATGGGACCAGCACCCTACTCCTTTGAGCCACAGGCGCCGCCCTTCTTTTCTTTTTATTTTTTTTTGTAGAGACGGAGTCTCGCTATGTTGCCCTTGGTAGAGCACCGTGATGTCACAACTCACAGCAACCTCTAGTTCTTGGACTTAGGCGATTTTCTTGCCTCAGCCTCCTGAGCAGCTGGGACTACAGGTACCCGCCATGATGCCCGGGTATTTTTTTGTTGTAGTTCGGCCGGGTTTGAACCCCCTACGGTTGGTATATGGGGCCAGCACCCTACCCACTAAGCCACAGGCACTGCCCTCTTCTTTTTTTTTTTTTTTTTTTTTTTGAGACAGAGTCTCACTCTGTAGCCCTGGGGTTGAGTGCCAGGGCATCATTGTAGCTCATAGCAACCTCAAATTCCTGGGTTCAAGTGATCCTCCTGCCTCAGCCTCCTAAGTAGCTGGGACTACAGGTGCCTGCGCCACAATGCCCAGCTAGTTTTTCTGTTTTTACTAGAGAAGGGGTCTGGCTCTTGCTCAGGCTGGTCTTGAACTGCTAAGCTTCAGCAATCCACACGCCTTGGCCTCCCAGAGTGCTAGAATCACAGGCATGAACCACTGTGCCTACCCCCATGTTTCATTTTCACAATGTAAAAGCTAAAGCACAGAGTGAAATAATTTGTCCTCAGACAATAAACTGAGACAGCATGACTCCGTGAAAGTTAGGGAATATTATTCAAAACAGGGCCTTCCGATGAGAGTACTTTGGCCCGACTCTAGAGCAAAGACTCTGAAGCACTGGACATACTGCTTCCCTCCACAGTAACAACTAAAGAAATGTAATGTGATGTGTAAAGATGATCAGGCAGAAAGGAGTCTGGGACTATGTGTTAATCAGCCTCAAAGAAGATGCCAATATATATGAGAATCGGCAAAGCAAAGCAGTAAAGACTCCTGTCACCAAGTTTAATGTATTATATCCCTGAGAAAATAAAAACAAAAGGCATCACTGAAAACTCTACTGGGACCTAACAATAATGAAAAATAAAAGCTGGTGGCTTATTTTCATTTCATACTAAAAGTTGGAAAAAATATATACATTTTTCCGGCAGATCTGATGGTTGTATGAGGAATTTTTATGCAAAGCTGAAATATCATAAGCCCGCTGCTTAAAGCTCATAAAATCCAAAATTATTGAATTTCAAGAAAATAATTACATCAATGTCCAAAATTCTCATTAGTGTTTTCTCCAGTGCCCTCTACTGGCCATAAGATGAAAAGGTAAAAAAAAAAATGCATCCACAATTATCCCAAACTCTTCAGCCACTAAAAAACAAACTTAAATAAAGCCTAAGTTGGTAGAAAATCCAGAAGTCTATCTAAATCACCTCATGCACCATTTTAAGATAGTTTCACTAATGAAAATGACTTAGATTTTTAATTAAGAACCATAAAAGTATACATTCACATTGACCTACTCTATCAATCTGAAGAAAGTCTAATCTAAGAAAATACTCATACATTTTTAAAAAGCAAAAAAAGCTCTCAGTGCTAATTATAACAGCAATAAAATTGAAGAGACCAAACAGCCAACTCAAAGGAAATGTATAAGCAAATTACAAATCCCTCATTTCAACGTCTGCCGGGCCTTTAGAAAGCATTTTCACACACAACAACTCTGTAAGGAAGGCAGAAGAGGCAGTCCACGTTTCTCAGAAAAGGGGATTAAGGCTAGGGAAGGTTAAGCTACACCCTTAAATAACCAAATTACAAACTGCTGGGCCAGGCCTTGAACCCATAATCCACAGACTTATTCTTAATAGCTCTTCTTCCAAGGCTTGTAAATTCAAAACTACTAAAAATGATAAAAAGACAACAGAAACACACAAAAGTATGGATTGAATATAACTCTTTTTCAAAAAGCTTGGGACTAGAAATGATTGGAACAGCACATTTTTTTGAATTTTCAAATATTTCCATCATCCTTAACCCCTTGAGCAACCCTTATCTGAAAATCTGAAATCTGAAATGTTGAAAGGAGCATTTCCTTTGAATGTCAAGTCCACACTTACATTTTGGACTATTGGGAATTTTGGATTAGGGACCTTCAACCTGTACTAGGAAGTACGTTAACAAAATGCTACAAGGTAACAGCTGGGCGTTGTAGCAGGCACCTGTAGTCCCAGCTACTTGGGAGGCTGAGGCAAGAGAATCACTTCAGCCCAAGAGTTTGAGGTTGCTGTGAGCTGTGATGCCACGGCTCTCTACCAAGAGCAACATAATGAGACTCTGTCTCAAAAATAATAATAATAAAAATAAATAAATAAAAGATAGGAGCTAGAGAAACGAAACTCTTATTGTGACCTTAGATAGGCTACACAGCCATACACAATACTAAATGGTAACCAACTGCAGGAGCCAAGCTCAACGTTTCCCAAAGTAATGGTACCTTTTCTTTCTTCATATGATCCATAATTTTGCCAAGATCCTCAACATCAACAAGAGAAGTTAGGCCCTGATGATTCTCGGAACCAAACTCATCCTCACTGGTGCTCTCACAGAGCTCTTCTTCCTGGAAGGTAAATGTTTCAAAAACACAGTGTTTAAAGTAGCGAAGTTCTCTTACACTCTTTCCCACACCAAAGGTTCACTGCCTTTAAACGTTTTATTAATCAGAAAAATCTTAGGGCCTCTCTCTATTGGGGCTGTGGAGGTTCCAGTTCATCCTCAGCCAAGGACGGAGACCACCATCAGCCCCTGAGGACCACTGTCAGCACTGCCATGAGCAGGCACCCTTGTTTGCCTGCCTCGGACATTTGGAGGAAAAGAAAAAAACTTAGCATCAGACTAATCACTGAGTGAACAACTAACACTTCACCTGCCCTTCCATGTGACAATGACATGAGCAGGAGAAACAGAAGGAGACATGTGAGAAGGAGAAACAGAGGAAACGCGACCATTGTGAAAACACTTGCTGAGTATCTAGGTGCCCAGCCGTGTATTCACTTGTTTAATCCTTAGCTACTTATAACGCAGATCTGTTCAGCACCATTTCATAGGTGAGGAAATTCACGGTAGAGAAGTTAATTAAGAAATCACAGCTAACCAGTGGCAGGTATAGGCATAGCCTTCATCTCTCTCCAATAAGCTGCTAAGGCAGAATCGAAAGATAAACAGACATTTTAAGAAGTGAAACAGTTGTTTGTTTTCAGCAGCAGATACTTTCTGAATAACTCAAAAAACACTTTTTTTTTTTTT